GAGGACATGGCAGGGAACGTCCTTCAGCAGCTGTTCAAATTTCGCCATGTCTACATGTGGATGAGTCGTCCTGGCCATGGTTGACAAGACCCTGCGGAACATCTCGGAGAACACAACCCGGTTATAGCCACGCATGTGCAAATAACAACTGTAGTACCACTACTAAAGCAAACACTTACACCTTCACGCCACTGAAAACCTTCTGTGTACTCATGGGGGCCCTGGAGCTGTCGAACAACACCATTTCCAGCGGCGGGCTATCCTTCCTTGACCTCTTATCCACCACCCGGTGGGGTGATATGACTATCACCATTGAGTAGTGCTCTCTGCAGGGAGGCATGCGGTAGGAAAGGACGGTGTTTAGTCACGCGCATAAAGAATGCATGCACCCTACGGCTCTTGTTGAACAGGTCAAGTGGCTCGATAATTACCCCCTGTAGACAGGGACCGCAAGGTAGTCGTGCTCAAGGAGCGGCAGGCCGTTTCCAACATTGACTGCCGTGTTGTGAGCAGTGGTGTTCGCAAAAGTGTTGCAATCGAGCGCCGCCCATGTCTTCCCGTTTGACAGCTTCGGAACACGGATGCTTAGAAGCCTGAAAGCACATGACGGACACGTGGGTGTTTTGCCGGAACAAGGGGCCATCAAATCATGCTGATGCGAAGTCTAGGCGCCACATACACGACGCGCAGGTAGCGTGTCGGCAGCGTTACTCACACGTTGTGAAAGTCGACCACTCCGTCTGTCAACCATGTGTTGTCAGCGATGGAGGCGAGGTCCTTCTTGTCGACTGTGCTGACCACGCCCTGATGATTCGTTAGCTCCATGTTGCGATATTCGACTTTGTAATAATTCTTCTCCAACGCCGCCACCAGATCGTCGGGCTGAGGGAGTTCAGCAGGTGCGCTTACGGTCGCGACAACATCTTCCATAATCTCTTCCTCCACATCCTCCGCCGTCATATTTTGCTTTTTTCTGTTTGTGCTGGCGGTCCTTCCCATACGCGTGCGTGTCGCACCTACTTCTCTAACTTCGGCCTCCGAGTAATCGCTCGATTCTTGGTTCCGGCATAGTGCTTTTTTCGGAGGCATGGTCGGCGCGAGATTAGTTCACGAAAGGGATCTCTAAATCAGGTGTTCTATCTCCCGGACACGGTGGAAACAGTTCACTAAAACCGGTAGGGTTCCTGTGCGAGCGAATTCTCGTCATCGCTATAGTCTATGGCAAGAAGGCAGCAGAAGTAGTCACATCACCCCCCTACGGATGCCAGATCTACAGTCGGGTTACACGATGTTCGCGCATCACGTGACAGTTCACCGAGATGATGACACCTGTGCGCCACAGAATTCTCCAGAATAGCTGGATGGGTGCATATCAGTGCACCGTAACCAGCTTGACATGCAGGGAGGCTGCAAATAACAGGTGTGAGTGTACGAGGGTTGTTAGATCATGCATACTAAATTCGAGTTTGTGTTCAGCGCTATTTCGTATGCTATTCTGTTGAGCTGGCATCCTCCTATGTTTCTGACTGTGCAGACCGAAAATGTAACATCGTTGTACAATCGCGTACATTCGGTTCGGCACCTAAGCTATGAAGGAGGCACGTCCGAACACGGATTGCCTAGATACAGCTTTGGCCTAGGTGTAAACGATGGGCCAATTGGCAAGTTTAGGGCGGGTCAAACATTGTACATGTACGGAGTATTTCAGGTCAGTTACCAGAAGTACGTACGAAATCAGTGTGACGTACGAAATCAGTTTGACTCGAGACTGTACATAAATGAGCTCATTCTGGAAACGTGCACCGGGACGTGTGTAACACATCCGAAGGTTCGTCTCACAAATTGCTTCCCGTCAAAGTCGTCAAACAGTAACGCCTCATTTTCGCCAACACCATTTCGCCATGATATTATCCCTTGCGCATTAGATGCGGAAACCTTCGCAACAGTTGGTAACGCCCTTTCCAGGTGATGTGCCTCGCAACGATCATGTACCTCGTCAAAAATCCGGAATGTACACTCCGTACTGGAAAGGAAACCTTAGTACTCCGCCCTGGGGTGCAGTCAAATTTGACATGTGTGTTGACGTAAAAATAACGACAACATTGGGAGTGTGCAAAGTTGGACCCGCCCTTAGCAGTAACCAAAATATGCCGCATGGGAAAGCATTTGTTGACGCGTACTCTACCGAGTACGAGCACATATACGCGGCATGTACAGGCGCGTTTCTCCTAGTAATGCTGACAGCGGATGCCTCTTTGTGAACGGTAGTAATAGTGGGTTGATCATGGTTGTTTATGTTTACAAGCGAATGTATGAGAGAACATTCATTTGGATATGCATGAGTTATGAATGCAGCGTTGGTGTGATTTTTACGGTCGTGGCGCTATTTTTTCTTATTGCTTAGTGTATTGTATCATTAGAACATCAGGGTGTAGTCCTTACTAGTGGTCCTATTTGTGCAATCGAAACACACACTCTTCAAAGGTTGACGCTCACGCTCGATGAGGTTATGAAAACAGCCTACCTAACCGTTTGTTGGTGGTCGGATTAGGGTTCGTAGTTAGAGCGAGATGACGGGAAACAAGTGCGGCGTATGCAGTAAAGATTTTCCCAGTGACCGTGATTTACAGTCTCATCTTTCAGATAGAACTAAATGCGGGGACACGCTGAAGAGAAATGTCGAGCATCTTATATTTGATGCTTACCTAGAAGCGCTAAACAGTGTTGGGCACAAACGACACTGCAGCCCTGCGACTTCTGGGGCCAAAACCCGTGGGGTACCTACAGCGGAGCCGCCAGATGTCGCTCCGCCGCAGGCGTCGCAGGCAGAACATGAAGGGGATGATGGCGACGATGGCGACTCTTCTTGTTCGGAGGCTAGCGACGTCTCCGACTTCTTCGACACCCTCACGGAGCTGTACCTTTTTTTCCGGGACGCAGACTTATCACGCCGAGAAGTCAACAGACTTCTTAACATATTCCGTAACCCGCAGTTCAGTTTGAAGGAATTACGTAGGTGGCGCAACTACGCTGACGTGAAGCGATGGGGGAAAGAGCGTGCGCCGCCAGATATGGTTCCATGGAAAACGGAGCATATCGTCGTGCACGGGCCCAGAGGAATGTCTCAAAAGCTTCTCTTGCACTTCCGTGACACAGAGTTGGTGAGCTTGCCGTCAAATGCGTAATGCATATATTCCGCTAAAGCGTTAACTGAGGGCATGAAACGTGTCTATCTAGACTTCTTCGACCGTTGATAGTCATGGGCCTTTTCTGGTGCGCAGCTTGTGAAGAAGCTTGTCCACATCTTTTCGCGGAGGAAGGGTTTCGTGTGGAAGCCAGAGGAGAAGTACAACGAGCAGGGGAAGCGCGTTTTCGAGGGGCCGGAAACAGGCACTTGGATGCACGAGGCGCAGGTACGTTGCCATGCTGCAAGAGTCGTGTCCGATGGAGGGCGTGCTCCTTAATGTCCCACTCCGGTTTGTGTGTGTGGCAGAAAGAGATCAAGGACGACAAGGCTCTGATTCTCGGGGTCATCGTGTACAGCGACAGCACGCAGGCGTCGCGCAACGGGCGGAGGAATGCGTGGCCTGTCCTGATTTCGCTCATTAACATACCTGAGGAACTGAGGTGGTTTGAGCCGGGCCACACTCTTGCTGCGGTGCTGCCCTTCTGCCCGGAATGGGCTAGCCCGACAGAGAAGGCCCGTGTTTTTCAGGAGGCGCTGAAGATCATACTTGGACCCTTGATGCGGGAAACCGCAAGGTACGTTTGGCGTCAGTGTGTATAATCGTTGCAAGTGATGTATTCGAGGACCGTCAACTTTGGAAACTCCTTTCTGTATCCAGTGCTCCCGTGAGGTACTTTTATGTGACAGACGCTGCGGGCAAAGTGGTCAAGGCGGTACCTTGCCTCTATGGATACCCTGGAGACTATCCTGAGAACAGTAGGGCTTTAGCAACGCTGCAGACGGGCACACATCGCCCGTGCGCTAACTGCTATGCCGAAGTTGGAGACCTGACACGGCTGACAGCCAAACAGGATCCCCGCACATCGGAGAGGCAGAAGGACATAGTGTGGCAGTTTTTTGCGTTTGCCAAAAAGGAGGACGCCCGTAAATTCCAGTCGCAGTGGTCAACCCATCCAATAGAGGTAAGCTGCAGCTTGCCATTGTGTCGTGGAAACATTCATTTGAGTTGTGACGAGCCGCAACATATGTGTTCGCGACATGTTTCCTTTTGGGCGCAGTGCGTGCTGGTGCGGTGGAACTTTGGGGACACCACCTGGGGGAACGTGTACCTCGCATGTCTGGCTGACATCTTACACGTGTTGGACTCTGGTGTCTTCGTACACATGATGGACGAGTACCTCTCCCCCCTGGGGAAAGTCGAGATCCGAATCCTGGAGAGGTGAGGCGTGTAGAAACCAGGGGTCCTCTGTCGTTGTGGACAGAGCGACGTTTGTTGCCAGGAAGTATTGTCTTTGTGTTTGGGCTGATGCGATTGTGGCCCGTTGGTCCACATTGCGTGGCAGGAGGAAGAAAGATTTGAAAAGCGACACGCCAAGTGTGCTACTAAGGATTCCGGGCGGATCGTCCTTCTTCCTTTCTGGCGCCCACTATGCGGCGTTCGAGCATCGCGCCATGATGCAAATCATGCCGATCATCATAGCGGACTCCAGTGCCTTGAAGAGGGGAAAGGCGGGAGAGTTAAGGGCGTTGCAGGTCAGAGCTTTCCGGTTTTACGCCATGTTCTACAAGTCGTTTTTGGGAGTGGCGGCGCACACCCGCGATACGTTGAAAGCGGCGAGGCAACATGCCGTTGCGTAAGTTTGGTGGTTGGACACAGGTGTTGTTGGCAATCTTTGTGCAGTTTGTACCGTGTGCACTGCAGTCTGGTGTCAGAACCTATGCGCTAAACCACAGTTTGAATTGCAGGTTGATGGAGCTGCTTCCCGTCGCTTTCCCGGACCAGGCGTCAAAGTGGGAAATTCCCAAGATCCACATGATAAAGCATCTTCTCGAGAACGTGGAAGCAAGGGGGATGCCACACCACTACAGCACGGAGATGTGGGGGCGAACACACAAGGGGACAGTGAAGGGTCCCGTGAGGGGGAGCAACTGGGCCGACATTCCTCGGAGAATTGTGGATGAGGAGATGCAGCGTGAGATCTACAGAGAAGTGGCGGCAGATGCGGGAGGAGGTCGGCAGTATGTATCAGCGCTGCGTGTGGTGAGCGATAGGTTGCTAGCTGGACCAGGGGAAGAGCCCAGGGCGATGAACGACCTGATTTCGGTGTGCGGTTTTTATGCATTCTGATGCAATACATGCTGCCTTGCGGGTGGTTGCGTGTGGCAGGCCGTGGAAGAGCTAGCGCCTGTGCTGACGAAGAAGTACAGGATCATGCGCCTCGGATGCAGCGGGGACAGTGTGTTTGCAGAGTACGCAGCAGTACACGGGGATCAGATGGAGGGCCTACTTGGTCAGCTGAGGCAGATGCAGATGGCGTGTGACAGTGTGCAGGTAATTGAGCGTATGGTGAGCAGAATCGCAGCTGTGGTATGCGGAATGTGTGTCACTGCCTGACAGTTCTTGAATTGTATGTGGTGCTTGCCTTCGCTTGCAGACACACACAGCAGTGGCCATACCACGAACACAGGGGGGTGTGCTGGTGGCGAAGGGGACGTTCGTAAAGGCATCCCCGTGAGAGAAGGTGTTCTCAGATGTGGCACTGTTGGCTCGGGGAGGCGGAGATTGGTTCGCTAGATGCCTGTGTATTTTCAAGGCGTTGAACGCGGAGGGCAAGTGGATTGGGTGTGCGTACGTGAGGTACTACGAAGCAGCCGGGCAGTGTCCCATCACAACGTGTACCCAGTTGTATCCAGCTCGTCAGAATGTGCGGTTCGCAGTGGTGCTATTGAAGAGCCTCCAGAGGGTTGTACACGTATGCCCATCTTACAGCAACCCACGTGTGCTGCTGGTGAACAAGTTTCTACTCTGCGAGTAATAGGAGTAGGGGCTTTTATCTGGAAATGTGGGATGGGTTTTGGTTAGAATAACAGTAGGGGGGAGGCGTGGGGTACTGACGTTGAGGGGTGGAGGCGTAGGAGGTAACGGAACTCGAGTGTGGAACAGAACAGGCGGACGGTCTCGTGCTTTGCCTTGTTGTGCATTGTGGGATTGTGGGAATGTTGTCATGGTTGGCATACAGGTAATTTGGTGGGCGGTGTTGGGTTTATGATAATGGCTGTAAGGGATTATGTTAGCACGGTGTTTTATTCGGGTTGACGGTTTGCCGAGTTCATGTTGGTTTTGTAATGCAGGTACACGGTGGTTACGGAATCATATACGATATGTGGCAGGGGCTATTGGTTCGACGTTCGGATTTCAAGTGTTTGTGACTGGCAGCTGCGACCTGTGTGACGTGAACGACATCCGAGAATGCAATTTTTGGCCAATGGAAACTGTGCACATGTGCACCTGGCAAGCAATGGTCAGAGAGCATTTTGGGGCGATTCTGTGTTTGTGGCTGTGTGGAGCCGATACAAGGTAGCACAGCTGCTGGCGAAGCGTACGGTTTCGGAATGAGGTGGCCTATTTTGGGGAGGTTCGTCATTTCATCTCCACCTACCCACCCGGCGTTGTATGCTGGTGGCCAGTATGAGCTCGGTGAAGCCCCCCTTGAAGGACATCATCCAGAAGTTGAAAGTGCACCCCGACGATGTGTTTTTGTTTGTGGAGATACCGTTTTTGCCGAGCCGTTTGCCTAAGACCAAAATTCCAGGAAGGACCGGAACCCCGTGCGACCGGATCATAAGTGTGGGCTTCCTATACAATGCGACGGGAACCTGCAGCACGGTGCCCCTTGTGGTTTTGCGCCATGACGAGCGCCCAGAAACTAGGCGCAGCAGGGAGCCCGCACCGGCGGTGATTGTGCGCTACACGAAGAGTGGTCGGCTCACACCCGAGGTATGTTGGATGATTTTGAGAGTGGACGGTTCCGCTGATTTCCCGAATGCAGTAGTGGCATGTTGGTGGTGTTGTTGTACGAAACCTTAACTCGGCGCATGAGCTGTCTTGGCTTGGCGTTGCGCAGGTGTTCACCGAGTTCTTTCAGACGGTCGACGGTGTGCAGCTAAGCCGTGAACGGAAGACGGTTGTGTTCACCTACAACACCGCGCACCGCATTACCGCGAATGACGCGAAGACGACGGTGGAGCACGGTTTGACGGTGGTGCATTTCACGCACACGCGCTTTGTCGACCTCACAGACATTGTGCAGTGGTCCAGCATGCCGTTTTTGCACGGCGTGGTGGACGCTTTCAAGGCGGAGTATCGTGTTATCCTGATGAGACGAGCGAATCTCTTCCACGAGGATTTCGATGCGCCCTTTTCCGTGGTGAATTACGCGGTCATGCTGCTGTGGATGGGCTTGGCCTGGAAGGCGCTGACGGCGGCTACGATGCAAAGGAGCTGGTGGAGGGCGGGATGCGTCCCGGAGTCATGGTGGCCGCTGATGTGGCACCTGCACGGCATGTATTCGGCAGGCATGTACGAGCCGCTTGTCTCTACCACGGCGGACCTCCTGGTGCTGCTACGTGAGTTCCGTGTGCGTCCAGCGTTGTATATGCCGGCGTCCGACTACGTGACATGCGATGAGTGGTTAATGGAGCAGGCAGGAGTGAAGTTGGTGACGCCCACTACGCCCACGTCTTCAGGGGACGACGGTGAAATGTGCCTTCCGGATGGGCCTCTGATGCGAGACGAACGAAGCCGTCGGCGTGCCATCCGCAACGTGACGCACGCGTACGTTTGTCACGCTGAGGCGCTGGGGATTGCCCCAGCGGAAGTGGCGCCTGTTGTTGGCGCCTCTAATGGAGAGGTGGTGAGCCGCCTAAACCGCACACCGAAGAAGCGTGCGCGCAGTTCTGGGTCGTCCGACAGTGCATTCGTGTAGTGCGCTAGGCCGTGATGTTGTTGTTGGGGGGGGGGGGGGGGGGGGGGGAGGGGGGTTGTAGGGTGGGCGTGGTTTGTAGATGTGGTTGCGGGCTGACGGTAGAGTATGGCTTTGTGTGTTGTTGTGCTTTGTAAGTCTGAACGCGGAGATTTTTGCAAATGGCACATTTTAACAATGGGAAGTAGCCGGTTTGCAGAGGCATATCGTTGGTTGCGTATGTTGGTTACGGTTTTCGGAATAAGTGTGTAGATAGGCTTGACGCGGAAACTGTAGCGGGGTTTGTGCGGCACGCTAATACCGAGTATTGTGAACGCTATGGGCCCGAGCCGCATGTGTTCGAGGCGCCTTCGTAGAGGCGGTGCGGATAATGGCGCAGGTGACGGCAAAGTCACAGTTTGGTGGCGGTAATGTTGTGGTCGAGTGTGCGGTTATTGATGGTGGGGACGTTGCGTTTTACGGCCCTTGTTTTTTTGACACATGTCGCAACAAGCACGCAAGGCCCACGCAGAAAAACCTTCGGCCACCCAAAAACGCAATTTCCCTTTTCCGCGATGGTAGCCGTGAGAATGGCTGGTAAGGAGGCGTTGCCGACCTTGTCGTCGTCCTGCCATCCGCCTTGGTAGACCGAAAATCCCCCACGGTAAGCGGCGATGGGAAGAGAGGAGCGAAGATGCACGCAGTAGGGCTTGAGGTTGCCCTGACGCCGCGGCGCAGGTGCTGAAAGATCATGCGCAAGTTAGGGGAGACAGGGTTACGAACCGGCCAAATATTGATCTCTGTCGACTGTCACACGGTCACACCGTGTGCGCAACTTAAAGTATCATACGAGTGGAGTCCGACAAAAAATGAATGCGACGGCTCACCTTGGATCAGCGCGTCGCATTGGCCGATGGCGACAGCAAGCAGCACGAGGATGGCGACCATGAGATTGTCGTGTCGGAATGGCTTGAAACGATGCGACACTTGATGCGCCGCCATGGTAATGATCTGGCACGACACGGTAACACACGATAGAATGCGGGATGAGGGTGCACTTGTACAAGCGGGCACTGCTCGGACTTGAGGGAACAATTGCGATGGGGTTGTGCAGACAGAGCACGTGGAAGAGAGGAGTGGATTCTGGATTGATGCTGAATGAAGGGGCTACACGTATAAATGTAATGACTCGATTCTCGCCGCGCAGCCAAGCTTCCCCTCCCCAACCAAAATGCGAGCTTCAATGTCCTCGAGGTTGTCATGGCAGCCCCCACTTCCTCATTCTGTCCAATCGCCTTCCAGCGCCCTGGCTCGGGAGTCGGGAACAACCTTTTGATTTTAGGCTAAGCTTGGCACGCTGTGGGCAGGTGTAACGAGGAAGCGTTCCAAAAAAAGGCTTTCTGGCACTTTGGAATTGTGAAGGGAAGAGGTGGTTTTCCTGTCCGCCCATAAGTAAACACTATTCATTACGGACATATTTAGTTTTTTTTTGTAATAAACGAAAGTCAAAGCCAAATAGGCTTTGAGATTGCACATCCACTAAAAGAATGTGCAAAGCTGACTGGGCAAAGGAGCTACAAAAGGTTTAAAGTCGGCAGGTGCCGGGGGGGGGGGGGGGGGGCGGGGGAGTCAAGGTCCGCCCGATCACGCAAAGGGGGAAAGACTTTGATGAGATGGTTGGAAGCATAAATCCGTAGCAAGTGTCATCCAAACACAAGTTCTGCACTGTATCAGATTTTTTTTTCAAGTAGTTTATTTCCAGTCCCGAGTTCGGTTCATATAAATGGTCTGGAAAATTCATGTTGCCAATGTGGAGAATACGAGTATGGGTTATCTAAGCGTGACATTGTTGGTTTCTTCTGTGAAATAGTTTTGGGGCGAAACTGTAAACATGTATGGATGTCGGGTTGAACCCATGTGGGTGCGGCTGCGCCAAACCGCAGCGCAAAAAGCCGAACTAAGAAGGTACGGAACGAGTGAATGGTGCTTCTTCGGAGGCCGGGAAGACATGTGCTGAACCCTGTATGCTGGTTGGGAAAGAGAAAGGTGGGGGAAAATTGCGGCGCCGAAGCTAGCCCAGGGTGTACAGTTGGGACCGCGTTGGAGAGACCTGCGGAAACTGCGGGAATTCCAAGCTTGATAAGGTGGAGTAACGCAGGGTTAGTGTAGCATATATTTATATGACAGATAGACACACATCTTCTTTTGATTTTAATGCATGAATCGGTCTGGGTTATCTACTCGTGACATCGTTGGTTTCTTCAGAGAGATACCTATTTTTTTTTTGCTTTCTATCTCCTAAGCCTCAGCCTAAGTTACTCTTCTGACACATGGTATGGCTTCTTTATTGTATTCTTCGGTAGTCATTGGACTAATAAAACAAATGGTACGACTTTAAAAGAAAACTAGAAACTCAAGGTACCGTATCTAGAGAAATTGAACCATAGCCGCTGCCCTCCCCAGCCTGAAATACGACTCCCAGTGACAGAAAAGATTCTTGCACTCAGTATTAATACAGACGACGGGAGCAAGTTCCCCTCCCAAGTGGCAACGGCTGCACACCTGCATTGCTTGCTGCATTCGAGCTTCAAGCGATGCCTCGACACGCTGTTGTGTGATAGCAAATGATAGGCTTCGGGAAGACTGTCCGCATGCTTCACAGAAGGCTTGGGGTGAGTTGAGCCGCAATGGCGCCCTGAAACAGAAGGAACAGGCAGGGTACTTCTAGCATGCTTGCCACACTCAATACCGGTACGAGTTAAATGCAAGCCGCATAGTCACCTACAGGCCAGACACACTCCTACCAGGCACGCACCTGCACGCGAGGAGTCACTGCACAAAAGGCACTCACCTGCACACGAGGCACTCACCTGCACACGAGGCACTCACCTGCACACGAGGCACTCACCTGCACACGAGGCACTCACCTGCACACGAGGCATGTTGCCTGCTTCTTGTAAAAAGTCGTCATTGCAGATTGCTGCTGCCCTGCTGCCCTTCCAGGGCCCAGGGTGCCGTGAGGAAAGGAGAACGGTGGAGGAGCGGAGGGTGAGGAGGTGGAGAAGGCAGGAGGCATGGCAGGGCGGTGGGACGAGGGGACAGGTGCGAAGATGGATGCCATGTCCTCTGGCGATAGGAGGTGCTGGAAGATCTGAATCAAGGGGTAGCAGAGTGAGGGTGAGAGGGTGGGGGGAGGGGAGGGGTGAGGGCCTGACTTAAGGATGGTGATGGGTGGATAAGGGAAGAACGAGGAGAGTGGGGATTTGCTCTCAAGATGGACTTCTACAATGCTTGTTGTGAGTCAACTGAAGTAGAAGAAGCAGAAGAAGCAAAAGCAGAAGCAGAGGAGACGAATGAGCGTTGAGAGAGTGGGTGGACGCACGGAGGAGAGTGGCTTCTGCAGCTTGTTGCGTGCGTACACAGCTGCGTTGGGAGGCAGCTGGGAAAGAAGGGCCAACAGAGGCTCCTCTGCCATGTCATCCTGAGAGAGCAGGGTAGCAGCACCGTTGGAGCAGTCTTATTTCAAGAAACAGGGCGAGCGAGAACACACTTTGTCTACACGAGAGAAAGATGACTGAAGCTGCTGCAACAGCAAAGATAACATACCTGCAGCCGTATTGAATACCTGCAGCCATGGTAAGTACCTGCAGCCGTGCACCATTGTCAAGAAGAATGTACGGAATTCGCTCTCCGATAAGAAACCGACGGTCAGGATCGCGTGCCTTGAGACGGGCCGCGAGGGCCACATGTGGGCCCCGGCCTTCCTCAGCGGTCGCCGGGCCAGCTCCCTCTCTCCCTGCTCCCCCCCCTGCTGCTGCCTCTGATCGCTGAGGGGAGTCGAGGCCTCTGGATGCTCTACCTGCCGCAGCTGCACTTGCTGCTGCTGTCTGCTGTGCGATGGCGGATAGGTCACTGTCGTTCACTCGCCACAGGCCCTGTATGGGAGCCGAGGCGGGCAGAGGACGGGGCAGGCAGGGGAGGCAAGTCAAGGGGAGAGAAACCGAATGGCATGTGTGGTGCAGCTTTGCTGACGTGATCCAGACCAGAATGGCAGCGTGCAGCATGGCAGGATGGCAGCAGCAGCCCACATAGGCACACGCACACGAATGGAAACACATGCACGAACACACGTATGCACACATCCACTCACACACACATGCATGCACACATGCATGCACACATGCATGCACACATGCATGCACACATGCATGCACACCCCCCTACCCCTGTCATGATGAGCTCGAACATGCTACATCCGCCCGTCATCAGCCGAACCACGGCCGCCCTCGCCTCTCGTGCAGCCGCCGCCACGTCACCATCCAAAAGGATGCGGCGAATCACGGCGCGACACGTAGCACGTACAAACAGCGGCACGTCCCTGCGGTCCGTCTCAATGCCCTTCACTAGCAGCAGCGACATGTCCTTTTCTTCTTCTTCTTGTGCTGCTGCTGCTGCTGCTGCTGGGGTGCTGCCTTGGTGCTGGTGAGGCGCTGTACGTTGTGCGGGTGGTGCGGGTGGTGGGGGAGATGGCACAGGGAAGACTTGTCGACCTGCATAGCGGTTGACCTGCAAGGAAAGGGGGGGGGGGGAGAGGGGGGATGTGGGGGTTCAATCAATGAGATATGGAAGGGAGAAGGGAGAAGGGAGAAGGGAGAAGGGAGAAGGGGGAAGGGAGAAGGGAGAAGGGAGAAGGGAGAAGGGAGAAGGGAGAAGGGAGAAGGGAGAAGGGAGAAGGGAGAAGGAAGAAGTGAGAAGGAAGAAGGAAGAAGGGAACAGGAATGAGGAGGAACAAAGCAGGGAAGAAGGACCTCAGGGAGAAGAGCTAGGAGAACGAGAAAGGAGGCAGGGACAGAATACACAATAGGAATAGGGGAAACAAGTGGTGTGGTGGCATGGTGGCACCTGGAGAAGCATGAAGGGGCAGAGCACTCGCTCCAGCTTCACAGCCATGGGGGCAGGGAAGAGCTCCGACAGGCGCGCTGCTAGCTCCGCTCCCATTGCTGCCGCCTCCGCTGGGGTTTTCTCTGGGAAGAGAACGAAGATGCTGTCCGTCTGCCCGTAAATCACCCTGCATGCCCCGGGAAAGATTTGGGTAGCTGCGTCCTTGGCATGCACGCATGCTGCTGCTCCCAGGCTGGGGGGAGAGGGAGGGAGGGGAGAGGATAGAGAGGGGGGAGAGATTGGAGGGAGGAGAGAGGATGGGGGGAAGGGGAGGATGCTTCAGGTTATTCTTAAGGACAGATGTGAGCAAGGAGGGACGAGGAGAACGCATAGTGCAGGGGGCAATGCGGCTGCAGGGTGAAAAAGGGAGAGATGGAGAGGTGCGAGAGGCAGGCATAAGAGGGGGGGGGGAGAAGAGAGAGAGCACGGGTCAGACTGACTGACTGACCCAAGGCAGGAGTCGGCAACGGCCACGGTGCGCAGAGGAGACGCGTTGGACCCTGTGAACCCGTATAGCGCGTTCGCACACAGCTTCAGCGCCCGCTGCCTGCCATCCAGTGCCGCCCGCTCCTCCGCACTCATTGCCGCCTCTGCCCCCATTGCCCCCGTTGCCACCTGTGCTGTGCGGGGGGCATGCGGCGGTGTGGAGAGGCGGCGCTGCGTGTCCTTGCGTGCAGCGATGAGAGCGGCGCAGATGCGGGGGAGCACACCGCGGTGCAGCGATGCACGCGTGAACGCTGCTCCTGTTGGGCTGATGCCGTGAGAGAGAAGAAAATGAGAGGAGAGCGAGTGAATCCAGTGAGAAAGAAACAGCTACCAGAGTTTGAGCTTTCTTTGACAATACGTGCTGGAGGAGAGATGTGGGGTAGTTAGTTAGCGGGTATGCACCACGTGGGAAGTTTGTGGCCTTAGCTTCAATGCAGCAGCGATAGATATGCATGCAGCCTGAGCACATGTCAGGGTGCAGCATTCGCCGTGGCCATACCCTACACGCACGACAGGTTATCTGAGGTGCAATGCAATGCAATGCATGTGAGTTGGTCGGTCGGCCCCACCCCATGCAGTGTGCACTGGTCTCTGAGGGGCGATGCAAGGCAATGTGTGTCGTCTGCGAACCAGCACCACCCTTGTCATGTCACTGACCTGACAAACACATGCTCCTCCGGAACGCGGTGCCTGTCCCCCGGGTGCACCAGCGACGAGCAGCACAGGTTATACGCCACAAACAGCGACGGGTACAGCGACGCAAAGTCCAGCACGGCCACCGGTTCAGAGCGGTACAGACCGGCCGTGCGCGCTTCCTTGGGGTGAAGCAGGAAGGGCGACTGCGTGAGCTGCCCAGAGGGATCAGCACCGCCTAGCAGCCAGCCGTGGGGGCCGGCGGTGTGGAGGAGTAGGCTGTGTACTCGTGCCATTTGTGCCCGGTACTGCACGTCTGATAGCAGTAGCCCTGTGACTCGTGCCATTTCCACTGTCTCCACTAGGGTTTGCTGCGACTGCAGGAGCAGGTGCACCACCTGTGCGGATGGGGAGAGGGGGAAGGGAAGAGGGATTGGTGGGGGAGGGGAGTGCGGAAAGGGGGGATGGGAAAGGGAATGAGAAGGGGAGGGGAGCGGGGAAAGGGGATGGGAAAGTGAATGAGAAGGGGATGGGACGGAGAAAGGGAGAGGGGGAGGGGGGTGTGGGAGAGGGAAGAGGGAGGAGGAACGACAGTGAGAGGACAAAGGTCCACTAAAGACGTGTGAGAAGGCGCCTATGTGTACATGTGCGCACCTTGGCGTACTCAGCAGCGTATCGCAGCAGGCGTGGGCGGCCCCCCAGGCCACCGCCCCACATGGCAGCAATGCACGCCGGCGACAGCAGCTCCAGAGGTCGCCCAACAAACACCTGCCATGGGGGTGATGGCAGGGAACAGTTGACCAAGGCGGCAGGGGGAGGGGGGGGGGGGGGGCGGGGTTGTGGGTTGGACACAGCCAGCAGCACTTGTTTGCATGAATACGTGCACTTTCACAGGCACAAGCTAGATGGCTCTTGACTTCTGACTGAGTCAACTCAGAAGTCATTGCGTTGCGCCCCTATTTGAGAGATCTAACCACCAAGCAGACCTCTCAGCCCCGAGACACACATATCTTCCCATGCTCCCTGCCCCACGCGTGCAGTGCACATGCGCACGCACCTGGCAGCTCTCGTGCAGGGAGAAGGTGGAGAGTGCTTGTGACGTGAGGATGGCTCGTAGCAGGTCCAACATGCACCGCCCCTCCACTCGCACCTGCATGGCGGGGAGGAGAGGGAGGAGGAGGAGAGGGAGGAGGAGGAGGAGAGGGAGGAGGAGGAGGAGGAGGAGGAGGAGGAGGAGGAGGAGGAGGAGGAGGAGGATGAGGAGGAGGAGGAGGAGGAGGAGGAGGAGGAGACAAGGAAGCGAACGAACCCAGTATACACAGGCTGGCTTGTGAGGAGGCAACGACGGGAAGAGGATAATAGCATGACGAGTAAGAGAGCTGAATCAACCAATCAAACTGAATCATTCCCCTTCCCCCCCCCTCCCCTCCTCTTCCACTTCTTCCTTCCTTCTTCCCTCCTGCTTCCCCCACCTGGAAGGTCTCCTGGTTGGAGGTAGCGGACACGCGCAGCTGCTGCCGCACCCACTGCTTGCCATACGTCACCACGCCCCGCACCACCAAACCTCGCCCACGCTGCTTCTCATTCTCACCCCCTCTTCCTCCTCCTCCTGGCCCACTGCCCTTGCTTGCTCGCCTCTTGCCTCCTCCTGCACGCCCTCCTTGCCCCTCCTCTTCCGCACGTGCCGTTGCCCTGTGCACTCCCGTCCCCTCCGCCTCCCGCTCCTCCCCAGTCTCTCCCTCCTCCTCTTCTTCCCCATCCCCTCGCCTTCCCACGTCCAGATCCCCCAGTCCCAGTGCCGCCCACCGCTCCTTGAGAACCTGCCAGCTGTCACGAGCCTGGTGGCATGATGACAGGCATGGTGCAGGGCCAGTAGCACAGGACATGCCACGCCGTGCACACAGTATGGCATGGTATGAACATTCCATTCCATGCCATGCCATGCCATGTCATGCCATGCCATGCCATGCCATGCCATGCCATGCCATGCCATTCCATGCCATGCCATGCCATGCCATGCCATGCCATGTCATGCCAGGCCATGCCACGCCATGGACAGCATGCATCCGGTTTGAGGCATGGCAAAATCTCATGTCATCAAACCACCACATCTAATTCAAACTCCAGCACAAGAACCACTTTCTTTGAGGCGCCTCAAAAATCCACATGCGGTTCAAGCTCCAGCACAAGAACCACTTTCTGAGTCCACTCGGAAACCCGCACATGCTTCATGCCTCGCCTGTGGAATACACTCGGAGGCGCCTCAAGGCTCACCTGGAACACCACCACCACATCTGGGGCGAGCCCATACACAACACAAAGGACTGCTCTCTGAGTTGGCAGGCACAGCACTAAACTAAATAACCAACCCGCGCGTATTCTGTTCTGTGGCTCACCTGGAACACCACCACCACATCTGGGGCGAGCCCATACACAACACAAAGGACTGCTCTCTGAGTTGGCAGGCACAGCACTAAACTAAATAACCAACCCGCGCGTATTCTGTTCTGTGGCTCACCTGGAACACCACCACCACATCTGGGGCGAGCCCATACACAACACAAAGGACTGCTCTCTGAGTTGGCAGGCACAGCACTAAACTAAATAACCAACCCGCGCGTATTCTGTTCTGTGGCTCACCTGGAACACCACCACCACATCTGGGGCGAGCCCATACACAACACAAAGGACTGCTCTCTGAGTTGGCAGGCACAGCACTAAACTAAATAACCAACCCGCGCGTATTCTGTTCTGTGGCTCACCTGGAACACCACCACCACATCTGGGGCGAGCCCATACACAACACAAAGGACTGCTCTCTGAGTTGGCAGGCACAGCACTAAACTAAATAACCAACCCGCGCGTATTCTGTTCTGTGGCTCACCTGGAACACCACCACCACATCGGGGTCGAGCTCGAACACAAAGAACCGCCGCCACTGCTCCAACATCTCCCTCTCGCTCCTATACACCCGCACCTCCTCCCTTCCTCCCAGCACCTGCTCCCTCTCCCTCTCCTGCCTCCTCTCTCGCACCCTCTCCTGTTCGCGCTGCAGCCCCCAACCATACATCTCACTGCTCATGAACCCCACGCCCTCATACCCCTCCCTGCACCACTCCGCCTCTGTGCCCTCTGGTTCCCTTGCAGCATAGATTCCCTCACACCCCTCGCTTGCAGCAGCGTTTCTACCATCAACAGCGCCACCAGCAGCGCCACCAGCAGCGCCACCAGCAGCGCCACCAGCAGCGCCACCAGCAGCGCCACCAGCAGCGCCACCAGCAGCGCCAGAAGCAGCGCCAGAAGCAGCGCCAGAAGCAGCGCCAGAAGCAGCGCCAGAAGCAGCGCCAGAAGCAGCGCCACTAACAGTAGAATGGGTGAAAAGCAACACCCCATGCTCAAACCCTCGTTCTCTGTCTTCCGAACAGCCCTGCTCCTTCTTTCCACCCTCAGCTTTCTCTCCACGTTCCCTTTCTTCCCCACCCTCCCCTCCTCCACCCATCCCCTCCACCTTCCCTATTCTAGCCCCTTTCCCTTTCCCTTTCCCTTTCCCTTCCAACCACCTTGTGCCACTAATGACGTGCGCTATAGCGAGGATGGGATCCCGACTAGCCTGAGTGGTACCCCCTCCAAGCATGAGCCCTAGCGACTCAATGTCCCCAAGGGAGGGGGCAGGGGGAGCAGGCAGGGGGGAGGGGAGGGGAGAGCGGTGGGGAGGCGGAAGGGGGGACTGCCCAAGGGAAGTCGAGCAGAGGGAAGAAGGGAGGGGGGAATGGAGGGGGGGACAAGAAGCAGATGGGGTGGTTTGCGAGGTGGCGGGTGGGTAACTAGAGGTAGTCAGCGGGGTGTCATGTGAAGGGGGGGTGGAGCGGACATGACTAGTGTCGCCACTGCTTCCACTCTGCTCCTTCCCCTCCCCTTGTCGCAGCCCAAACCACCAGTGAACAGGCCTCGCCGCCGCTTCTGCTCTCTCTGTTCCTCCACCTCTCCCTCTCCCTCCTGACGCAGGGCTCATCCTCCCTCCTGACGCAGGGCTCATCCTCCCTCCTGACGCAGGGCTCATCCTCCCTCCTGACGCAGGGCTCATCCTCCCTCCTGACGCAGGGCTCATCCTCCCTCCTGACGCAGGGCTCATCCTCCCTCCTGACGCAGGGCTCATCCTCCCTCCCGACGCAGGGCTCATCCTCCCTCCTGACGCAGGGCTCATCCTCCCTCCTGACGCAGGGCTCATCCTCCCTCCTGACGCAGGGCTCATCCTCCCTCCTACACCTCCACTTCCTCCGTCGCTTCCTCTCCCCCCTCTCCTATTCCCCTTCCCCTTCCCTTTACCCTTCCCCTTGCCGTTCCCCTGCCCCTTCCCTCCGCCTGAACCATGCTTTCCCCCGCTCTCCTTACCCCCACTGCTCACACCCCCCCTACCTCCGAGTCTCATTGAACCCCCACCAGCTCTCCCCCTCGCACTCGCAGTAGCACCACCAGCATGCGGCCGCCACCACACATTCGCACCTGCACCTTGCGACCCTGTGCCAACACCCTCTGCCTTTGTCCCTGCTGGAGGCGACTCAGAACTCATCCCTGCCTCGTCCGTGTTGCTACCTTCCCCGGCACTCGCACCAAACAAGCCACGCGCTGTTGCTGACTTCTCCTGCCTCTCCTCACTCCCCTCATCCCTTGTCTCACCCGCCCCACCTCCCTCCTCTCTCCCTGCCAATGCTACCTCTACAACCGTTTCCCTCCTTCTTTTCACCTGCAATACTCCCTCATCCCCATCTCCCCCTCGCCTCTCTTCCCCCAACTCCCTTCCCCGTTTCACCCGGCTCTCTCCACCCCTCCCTAACCCACTCCCAGCACCAAATCTCCCCACCCCTCCTCTCCTACCATTCTCCCCCTTATGCCCACCCACATCCCCCCCTGCGGCCCCAGCAGAAACCCTACCCCCAGCACCGGTCACCACATGCATGCACAGCACCACCATTGGCGCCAGCTGCAGCACCGACCTATCAGCCAGTCCTCCCATTCCCCCAACTCCCCCCGTGCTAGCACCTGCAGTGGTTGCAGGACAAAACTCTCCCTCCCTAGCATCCCGTGTTGCAGCAGCCTTGACCGCACACCCAGCGCTCTCCTTCCCAGTGCGGAGCTGCTCGGCTTGAGAAGGAGTGTCAGGGGGAAGTTGGGAGTGTGGTGGGGTGGGGTGAGGTGCTTGGAACGTATGGGTGTCTGAGGTGTGAGGGTTGTGGGGCGGGGGGAGGGCAGGGGCCACGGAAGGAGACAGAGGAGCTGTTAGGTTGTGCTTTGGTGGCGCAGCAACGTCGGTTTGTGCGACAGCATCGGTGTCAATGCTGTTGGTGCTGTCGGTGCTGTTGCTCCTGTTGAGCTTGCTTTCTTGAGCTGCCACGGATGCTGCTGCTTCTGCTGGTGCTGTTGTTGTTGGTGCTGCGACCACTGGTGCTGGTGACAGTGGCGCTACTGAGATCCCACCCCCCTGGGTGGCATCTGGGGTGCCGAGAGTGGAGAGGACATCAGGGGAGAGGGACTGTAAGGAGCGCCATGAGGACACACACTCAACCGCACAGCGAGACACACGGGCAAGGGGTGGGAGTACGGACAAGGGACTGTTGCCAGCAGGTGCACATGTGGTACTGCTGTCTGCAAAGGGGTGCTGTGCGGTGTTGGTCCCACCGAGCCGAGCGGTCATGTCCACACCGCAGTGAGGGCAGTGAGCGAGAGGCGGCAGGCGGCTGGGAAGTGCAGTAGCAGTACTGCCGTGTTGGTAACTGGCAGGCGGATGTGAATCTGCTGTGGGCAGCGGCACACTCGACGGTGCTGATTGGGGTGGAGCGGGTGAGATGTAGAGCAGTGGGGGAGGAGCTGGTGCTGGTGCTGGTGCTGCAGCAGAGGCGCGAAGAGGCAGTATGTGCGGTGCGTGCAGCACACACCATGCCCCCCCGGCTAGAGAGGTCTCTGCGAGGAACCGCATGGGCAGCTGGTCGGGGCGAGAGAGAGGAAGAAAGCAGCTGCGGGGTGGCGAGAGATGAGAAACGTGGGGTGCACGGTGAGAGGAAGTGGGAGTCGACGGGAGAAGAGCAGAAGGGCGGTGCACGTGGCGAGCAGAGCACCAAGTGCTGCATGAGATAGTAGGCCCACAGCACATGCAGGAGTCCCGGTGCATGCAGCAGAGGAAACAAGTGCACTGCCCATTTACTGTTGACGGTGCCACGGTGCCACCCACCCACACCCTCTCACCTTGATGTTATCCTCCATTGGTTCACTGCCACGTGGCCATTGCAGACCCTCAGACGCCATGAGGCCCTTCTCTGCTGCCTCCACCAGTGCCTTTGCAACAGCTGGCATGGCTCGCGCATGGTACACGTACGGCGGGCATGCCACGTGTAGGGTAGGAAGGGAATTGAGGGTTGCTTGCGAATGGAACGCGTGTGAAAGAGAGTGACAATAGGTGGATGCAAGTATAAAGCATGTGAAAGAGTGTCACCTTAAGGTAGCGTGAGGGGCCGTCAGGACGGTAGTAGACGATGGGGGTGCGGAGCTCCATAGCCATGTGCGCCACCTGGTGGTGGGTGGATAGGTATGTAGATAGGTAGGCATGCATGCAGAGGATGTGAGCTGTGGATGATGGGTGGGTGGCTGGGTGGGCGTGGCGGATAGGACGATTGGAGCATGTGAGGTACAAGGAGTGTGGAGCAGGGCAGGCTGAGGCACAGAGCATGGCAGGGAACATGTGCACTTGCATGTTGTATATACTGTGAATGCCTCTTGAGGCGACTAAAAAGCCAGAACATGCACAAGTGCATGATGCGCCATGAAATGCTTGTGCCAGTGAAACAGCTAGTGCTGACGCTTGTCACACCATTGGCGCTGCCGTTGGTTTGGTTGGTAGCTCGAGTTAGCAGGTGGTAAGGAGAGAGGCACTGACCGGTTCGCCCTTGATGTGGTTCTGCCCCTTGCTCCGTGCTCTGCCTGCCAACCCCTGCACATATGCATTCACCCATCGCTTCACCCGCTCACACACCCCTCGCACATCCTCTTCCCTCTTCCCGCCACCCTCCCCTCCATCTTGACCTCCTCCTCCTTGTCCTCCTCCTCCTTGTCCTCCTCCACTCACTCCCTGCTCCCCCTGCTGTTCCGCATCCCCCAACCCCTCAACCCCCGACAGCATTCCTGTCTGGCATGCCCCACTTGTCCTGCCAGTAACCACCGCCTCTTCTTGCATGGCCGCAGCAAGAGCACCTTCGCTATAATCACTGTCACCCTCGCTATAATCACCCTCCTCCTCCTCCTCCTCCTCCTCCTCCGCGCCACCAACAGCAAGGGCATCCTCATCATCCTCAGCCCCATCGCTCTCTTCCCAGCTCTCTCCCGCCTCCCCTCCTTTGCTGCTTCCCACTGTGCCAGAGAGGGCAGCAACAGCAGCATAAGCGGAACTGGCAGCAACGGGGCTGGGAGGCCGAGCAGCAGAAGGGGCAGTATCTGTGGTTGGGGCAGCTGGTGTGGCTGATGGTGTGTGGGGAGCAGTGGCTGTGGTGTAAGTGGCTGTTGGTTGCGGTTGCAGCAGCGAGGGGTACGGGAACCAGAAGAAAGGGAGAAAGTCTGCAGCGTTTACGGGGCACAGGGAGGAGGGAGTGGGAGGAAGGAGAAAAGAGAGAACTTTTGCACAGCACGTGCATGCCTGTAGCAGACCTTTACTTGCTAGCAAGTTTTATCACACTAACGCACGCACACAACAACCACAATCACAAGCCACAAACACCACCACCACTACCACTGCAGCTATGCTCATCTAGTCAGGCACACTCGAAGTTCACGCTGTGGGGTGGAGGGGAGAGGAGAGGGGCAGAAGCGCCCATAGGTAGCAGCACGGGCAGTGCATGAGATGAGCAGAGAGCGACGTTGCTTCTGGGCTCGATGAAACCTACCGGGGACGCGGCAGCACAGCGAGGCTCCGTCCTGGGTCACGCCATAAAGCACGACCTGTAAAGAAGCAGATACAGGGGTAGAAGAGGAAGAGAGGGCGAGGTTGCACCTTGCGGGTGTATGTGCGGAAGGGCGGGAGGGCGGCATGGGAGGGACGGGCGGATGAGGAGGCGAGGGAAGTCATGGGAACGAGAGGAGGCAGGCATGGTGGCTCGGTGGCATGGTGGCATGGGATGGGAGGGTGGGGCACCTGGTTGGGAGTGAGTGCGCGATCGACATCGTCCACCACCAGGTCCAATAGCATCATTCGCCTGCACGCTGCTGCTCTTGACGCCGCTGCCGCCGCCGCTGCTGCTGTCGCTGCTGGTACTGGTGCTGCACCCGTGGTGGCCATGGTAAGCAAAATCCGCGGGCGCAACTTTTGAGAAATCTTAAAAGTGCCTCTTAACCGCGCGGTCGAGCTTCCGCACTGAGCTTTCGCGCGCTGCCGCGCTGCGCCTTGCCTGTCGGAACCGTCGCGGGGTGCCGCTTCTTATAAAGTTGCGCGGATGCTTCAACCGCCAACACGCGCAATGCCACGACGCGCACTAATAACCGTCGAGAATCCCCGGAAGAAACAAGGCTGCCATGTGCCGCCGTCCGACGCACTCCGCTGGCGCCGCTCACTCCTGAAGCCAGCCTCGTCTGCCACAGCGTTCCCACTACTCCGCGTCGTCGACGAATAGCGCGCGAGTGTAATTGTCGAACGAACAAGCGCGGGGTTAATTGACGGCACGCGTGCCGGATGCTCGCTGCGGAAGCGCGCGGAGCTTATAGGTGAGGAAGAGGCTTGTGACGCCATGCTCTCCGAATTCGCGGAGAGCAGGTCTTGTAAGGGGAGGCTGGAATGCCGTCACTGTCACTTCAGTTCGCGCCATGCATGATGCCCAGAACACATTTGAGCCCCGAACTCACTACTAGCAGACTCTTGAAAAAGAGTTTGCACAGTAACAAGCATACGATAAACAAATGATGGACCCACTCTGTTCTTCTCTCGCATCCTTTCGCTGCGTAAGGATCATTTTGCTTTCTTCTCCCTTTGATTTGATAGCCAAAAAAACAGAGTATCAAATCAACCCCTTTAACAAGCCTTTCGTTGATTTATGTGCCACCGTTTGTGCTGTAAAATCTGGGGTGGAGTGAAGAGAAACGTCTTGCCATCGCACTCACTGCACTCATGCTGTCGCCGACCCACAGCAGCCTTCCCATCCCCACCGTCGCCCTCACTAACTGCTTTCTCCAGCACTTCGCCTGCTATCATTAGCTCATCCAACCTTTCTCCACCACCCTCCACCGTCCCAGCAGCAGCAGCAGCAGCAGCCGTCGCCGCCGCCGCAGCAGCAGCAGCAGCAGCAGCAGAAGTAACGGTGGTGCCAGGCTGATGCTGGGGTTGGCGGGGCAGGTTGCCACATGCGCGAAGGTGGTCCACGGTTTCAGGCAGAGTGAGGATGAGCTTGTAGCAGCACAGCGGGCACTGCCAGTGGCTGCGCATGTGCAGCGACGCCTGTGTGGCAACGTTTGTCTCATGCGACGGGATTGACCCGATGCGCAGGAATGGCGTCACAAGAACGCCACCCTTGATGATTGGCTTCCCACTGACCGGGAGGAAGCAGGGCACACATGAGCGCAAGGGAGAGACGTGGGCCGGAGAATTTAAAAAGGGAGAGGTTTGCCCGGGGGGGGAGGGGGGGGGGTTGCGGGACGGAGATTGGGGGAAGTGGGTGAGTGGGACAGTGGTGAGGGCATGCAGGCGAGAGATGCCTGTGGCTTGACGGTTGAGACTCCCCAAGGCATCCCAGGGTTTCCCAAGTTCTCCAGGGTTTCCATGGTTGTCTAGTAAGCTGTGCTGGCACGAGATTGTCACTAGTATAGGCAAGAAAGTCGCAGCAAGGGTACAAGAAGGGCAGCGAGAGGGAGGAGGGAGGAACGGCACATGGATAGTGGACTGCACCCCACCTCTTGGACGCCTCTGCTGCCCGCAGTGCTGCCTCTGCCTCCTCCACCAGTGCTGCTGCCGTCGCCACAGCTGCACTCCCTCCTGCGCCTTGCACTGAGCCCAGGCCCACCGATGCATTCTCTGCAACGCCTGAGTGTGCCTGCCCACTGCTGCTCAGCTGGCCTTCCCTGGTCTTGGTTGACCCAAAACCAGCACCAGCAACGTTATGTGTGCAGTCATGTGTCCCACTGTTGCCTGGTGCTGCTGCGGCGGCAGCATGGGAGAGCAGGGCAGCGGCGGCCATGGGAGTGAGCTGGCGGCAGGAGAAGGGCACAGGGGACTGCAGGAAGGTGGCAATGCGATCTGCCGGAACAATTCCAGAGGGGGAGAGGGCGTGAAGAGCGGGACAAGCAAGGGTTATAAGTGGAAAAGGGCAGTGAGCACAGTGGGCCAAATTCCTATGCTCCTGTCTCGCCTCTCATCTCCCATCTCACCTCTCTCCTCCATCCTCCCTCTTCTCTCCCCTCTCACATCCACCCACTTTCTCACTCCATACCCATTCCAACACTCACCCCCCCTTTCCCACCCATCTCCATCCAGTCCTACCTGCAAGTTCCTTGACCTGCGTATCCGCACCCCCCTCCTCCTCTTCCCCCTCCGTCCTCTCCTCCTCCTCCTCCTCCATCCCTTGCCGTTCCTCCCCGGCACCCTGGCAGCCGGCGGTCCACTCACAGAGCGCCTGAATGAACGCCCGTGCATCATCAACAAGGGCATCTTGGTTGAATTCAGCTGTTCGTTGTCTCCGCACTCCCACTGGCGCCTGGGTGCGCGCTTCGAGTGCTGTGTGGCTGAAATTTTGAGATTTACTGGCGTGGCCCTGATACTGCGTCTGCTGCTGCTGCTGCTGCTGCTGCTGCTGCTGTTGCACGGTGTGAGGGCGCAACGCTGAGAGGCGCTGGTGGAGGAGGGACGAGATGTCCTGACGGATGGTCACTGCTGTCTGCAGGATGCACACACACACGCATGCACATGCACACACAGGCACACACATATAGACACACACATGTACACACACACATACCCAAACACACAAGAGGGCGGGCTAAGCCGCACAGTCAGTTGCACTGCCAGAGGAACACAACAGGGAGACACAAAACGCCCAAAACCCTTTGAGATAACTGTTGATTGCCTCAGAGAGCCCTGGCACTCACCACGAGCAGTCTGCGAGCTTCGTCCATGGGGAGTGGTGTGAGGCGCACTAGCAGCCAGTCGTCAAAGAGAATTCGCGTGCCGTCAGACGAGGCGTCGATGGAGAGAGACGTGAGCAGCAGCGCTGGCAGCGATGGTATGCGCATCTGGGGGGGGTGAGAGTGTGGACACATGGACGCATGGACACGTGACCTTGGCAGTTCCAAGAAGCAGGCAAGAACGAGGGACAGAGAGAACGAGAGTACCAAGAACCATACTAATGAAAAGGCTGACTAGAGAGAGGGAGCATGCGGAGTGGTGTGGCGGCATAACAGATGCACTGACCAGATTGGATAGATAGAGCTTGGTGGTTTCCAAGAGAGTGCCATACACCAGTAGCTCGCTCTGACGTTGGGCATGGTGGGGAGGGAGGTTGGCAGGAAATGTGGACATGATAAGACAGAAGGAGAGGGCTGCATTAGACAGCTGAAGGAAGAGGAGGATGGGGGGACGATAAAACAAAACGGCGCATAGGTCCGAGAGGCGCGTACGATGGTAACAGGATGCAGTGCACTGGTATTCGCCGTCACATAACCAGTGCACAGTGACGGCATGAGTTAACCATTGGACTACGTGAAGAAAGCACGAATTTATCACGGTGAAGGGAGTGTGAGCTCACCGCGGTGATGGGCGCATCTGAGCCGCACAGGCTGCTGCACGGGTGGATGCACGCGCTGCTGACGTGGCGCGTGTGGAAGAATTGGTCACTCTCTCGCCGCATGCCGTTGTGCGCATCCGCGATGGCTATGTTGGGGTACAGAGCGGCACCTGTGTGACGAGAGGGCGAGAAGGACATGATAATACATTCACATGCACCACAGTTTTGATATGAAACAGGCCACAGAGCGGTGCTGAGCCTGGATGAAAGACCCTGAACGGAGGATAGAGACTAACAGACAGCGAATGTTGACTCGTCTGAGAGTGGGAAAAGTCAGTTGTTGGGGACTGAGTGTGGCACAAGGGGTTTGCAGCACAACTAGAGGAAACGCAGAAGAAAGACAAGAAGAGCAGTCACGAGCATTGCAGTCACGACAAAGATAAGAACATGCAGGGCTATCAATGACAAGAGCATTGCGAGAGGGAAAAACATAGGGGGTGGGGAAGCGGGAAGGGTGGGGGGGAGGGGCGTGGTGGAGGTGTGAATAAAGCGTGTGCCTTACACACAATGAACTTGATGAGGTGAATGTCGCCACGTGTCAGCTCCTTATTGGCCAGTGATGCCACGCGGTCCATATCCACTGACAGCCTCAACTCCAGCCCCTCCAGATCCTCCTCCCCCATGCCTCCGTATCCCTCATCCACCCCCTCTTGCTGCCCCCCTCCCCCTGCATCCCCCCCTGCGATCTCCTCCTCACCACTCCCCCCTCCTTCATCATCGTCCTCCTCCTCGTGGTTGCTGTGTACCCTCAGGCGCAGCTGCTTCTGGCCCCTCTCCCTCGCCTGCCGCATGCGCTGCAGGAGCAACAGGCACAGGCAAGGCAGGTGCACAGTGAAGGCAGGATGCAAGCACTAGCCTGGTATGCTACAACCGGCCAGGCCACCACCGGCCATGCTGCAAATGGCCATGCTATGCTGCAACCTGCCATGCTACACCCGCGCCATGCAATGAAAGAACATGTAATGCGGCAAAACGAACCTGAACTTGCATCAGCTGCTGCCGCCGCTCGTCCCGATCCCATCTGCTGTGCCTCGCTCCCCTCCTGTCAGCCCCCAGGCCGCCCTCACCCGACTCACTCCCTTCTCTGTCCCACCGACCACGCTTCCTCCCGTGCTGCATTTGCTGACGCCTCTGTGCTGCTCCAGCAGTAAGAGATGGGAGAGATGAGAAAAGCACACACGAATTCCTGTTGAGGCAAGTCAAAATCCACGCCTCTCTGATCCTCTCTAAGTGTGGTGCAAGTGGGAATAACCAACGGGCATGTGATCGCAGGTGATGCGTCTCATCAGCGGCCCCGACTGTCCATCTGGCCTTCAATACAAAAGCGCGCACCTGTGGATCGCAGGAGGCGAGTGGAGAGCAGGATGTGTGTGAACTGGCGGTGCAGCTTTGCCATCTCCATCAGCCGCTGCAGCTCCACCCCGTGCCGCTTGCACCACCTGCCCATGTCCAAGGTGAGAGGTGTGGAGGTGAGAGTCGTGGGGGTGAGAGGCATAATATACCACAACATCCATACACTTCATACATGCGGTCGGATTTGATGCACCTGCAGACTGCTCTTTCACGTCACCAATCCCCAACACTACAACCCACGTTCCTCTGCCCGTATGCGCCAGAACACAAGATCCTCACCGGTGCGCTGCTCTGCTGGACTCCTTCTGCACCTTGCTCCACTCGCCAAACACGGCCATGAGCGTGAAGGCATCACCGTCCCCGCTGCGCAGCTGGTGCTGTGCGGTGCGGATCTTCTCCCCCTGCTCGCCCTCGGGCACGCGCACAAAGGGCGATGGCACTGCCAACGCTGCTGCGAGGAGCGCTATGAGGGGTGCTATGGGGGGGAAGAGTGAGCCCAGTACCTGGTGGGGTGTGGTGTGGGGATGCAAAGGGGGTGGGCGGAGGGAAGGAGGGACGGAAGGGGAGGGAAAGAAAGGGAAGACAGGAAAGCAGTGAGATAGAGCAGAGGTGTTCAGTCACTTCGAAAGGGGTGGAAGCAACAGAGTATTCTTGCACAGAATGCGTTACAAGGAGCAACGGAGTATTCTTGCACAGAATGCGTTACAAGGAGCAACGGAGTATTCTTGCACAGAATGCGTTACAAGGAGCAACGGAGTATTCTTGCACAGAATGCGTTACAAGGAGCAACGGAGTATTCTTGCACAGAATGCGTTACAAGGAGCAACGGAGTATTCTTGCACAGAATGCGTTACAAGGAGCAACGGACGGAAGGCATGCAGGGGCAGCAGCAAGGGGGGCGGCGGCTGGCAGCACGAGGCATGCATGCAGTGAATGTTAAGAGATGCATAAAGCCGGGATGAGAACAAGCTAGGAGAAGAGCGTGAAAGAGAAGAGAGCGCAGCACAGCAGCAGAGAGGCAGAAAGACAGGCACACACACCAGCATCTTGCCGAGTGGTATGTCCACGGGCAGCCCAGCCAGCACATGTCCCAGAGGCGTCACCACCAACTCATCATCACCACCACTACCGCCACCACCATTGCCGTCACCAGCAACACTGCCATTATCTCCCCCGCTTCGCAGACCTGCACCCCTCTTATCCTCCTCTCCTGCCCATCCGCCTCCAGCTTCTGGTTGCTGCGGTGCTCCTGTGGTGGTGAGTGGTGGTGCTGCTGCGGGGGGGGCGAGTGCCCCGTGGTGCGTGAGAGAGAGCACGGCTCGATGGAGGGCGGATGGGGACGGGGCGTCTAGGAAGCCGAAGTGAGAGAGAGAGCAGGCTGGAGAGAGCATCTGCAATGCGGTGGATGGAGAGGGGAGAGGGATGAGGGGAGGAAACGGAGGGCGAGTGATTGGGGAACGGGGAATGGTGGCATGATAGAGGGCAGGGAAGAAGGGAGCAGAAAAGGAAAAGCAGATTTTGGGAGTCAGAAGAGTGCTAAATGGAGGACCAAGATTGAAGGGTAGACGGGGATTGAATTGACAAAATAGGAAAGGTGGATTTGGCATGACATGGCACATGGGAAGGAGGTAGGGATATCATGTAAGTCCACGGCAGACGGACCTTCATCTGCAGCACAACCGACTCTAAAGGCACTCGGAGGAGCTCCGGTATGGAGAACTGCCGGAACTGCACACGCACAATTGTGCACATTCACACATGCAAATTTCAGGATTGCTACCAAACAAGGAGGATGGGGTGCAGTGCAGTGCAGTGCAGTGCAGTGCAGTGAAATGCAACGGCTGGCGGCTCGGCGGCACAACCGGTTTCCCGGTTTCCCGGTTTCTTTCTTGGTTTCCCAGTTTATTTCTTGGTCTCCCGGCCTCCCGGTCTCCCAGTTTCCCAGCATGGCTGGCGGCATGGCTGGCGGCATGGCTGGCGGCCCGGCGGCCTTGCAGGATTCAAACCTGAGACCTTACTACAGAAAAATCCCTACTAGCTGGGCTACATGATCGTGATGTCATTTTCCACATGATATGATCACAGCAGCACCGTGGGTGGTGTGTGCGTGCATGTGCTGTCTCACTCACTGCATTGAACTGTTCTCTCGAGTAAAGCCGGAAGCAATGACCCGGACCCGTTCGCCCCGCCCTGCCTGCTCTCTGTGCGGCTGATGCCTTGACTTGACACGCCCAAGTGGGGAGATGTGGAAAGATAAGGCACAGTTAGGCAACGAAACTAGCGGTTGCCCACGGCAAACCTGAAAGCTGAGAAAGGAAACCACAGACGTGCATATATCCACCATGGGCAACCTGGCATGTGCATACATCCGAGAGAGGAGAGCAAAGCAAGGCACACCTGGCTGACCCACTGCTCCTGCAGCGTGCTGCCTGCGATCTCTGCGAGGTGCGTGACGGCCTTCTCCTTGCCGCTGTCCACCACAAAGCGCACCCCGTCTATCGTCACACTCGTCTCCGCTATGTTGGTTGATAGGATGCACTTGCGCACGCCCGCAGGGGCCACTGCAAACACCTTGTCCTGTTCATGGGGCATGCCGGTTTGTGCATGGACACACATACAACACAGGAGGGGAGTGCGGCAGCACCGTGCAGGGCAGCGGCAGAGTGACAGTTAGCAGCAGTGAAGCAGCAGGGAAGAGGCAACAGGAGGGTCTCTTCTGTACATTGGTTGGGAGAACAGCCAGAACGGTTGGCATGTTATGTCTGAGCAGTCAGTACTAAGAGTCACGGAACAAGCAAATGTTTGAAAAACAGACGAACCTGCTCTTTGGAGGAGAGGGAGGAGTGCAGGAGCAGCACAAGCCATCTCTTGGATTCCTGTGCGTACTGCTGTACTGCCGCTGCCACTGCTGATATCTCCTGAATGCCTGCACGCAAAAGGGAGAAAGAGGTAAAGAACCTAGAAAGAGGGAGAGTGCAGGAAGTGAGGGAGAGGGGGAGCGTAAGAGAGAGCTGGAAAGACATTGCATTGCACCTTGAATGCTCAGAGAGGCAGGAACACCAAGATGGGAATAGGAATAGGCAGGATAGGAATGCTGCCAAATGCTTGCAGAAAAGGAAGCCTTACACCAATGGTGCAATGCATTACAGAAAGCAAAGCCATGCACCAGAGAGAGCACGAGAGAACTCTACCTGAGAGGAAGACCAGCAGGTCGCCCCTCTGGTCTGCGGGGAACTGCTGATCTATGCGCTCCAGCACACGCACATACGCCGCACTGCCCACCCGCCCTTCTCTCCCCACCCGCCCTGCACCTCCTCCCCCTCCCGCTCTCCTCAGACCCACCCCAGCCACAGTACCACCAGCAGTTGCATTGACAGCGTCGGGAGCGGCAGTGGGGTTGCAGTTGGTGGTGGAGGTGTGAGCAGTGGCGGGCGGAGGAACAGCCAGGCCCGTCTCGCCTGCTGGTTGAGGCAAATGCTCTATGGTGATGGGGTAGGTGCGACCAGGGACCTGGTACATGGGGAAAGGCCGGGCAGCCACGGTGGTGACAGTGTTGCAGGTTAGCAAACGAGCAGAAGAGCAGGAGAGCAGGAGAGCAGGCAAAGAGAGGAGCGAACAGGGGCGAAGGCCTTCTCGGCACAGGGCTGATGTGCAGTGCAGCGCACCGTGACAATGGGGGCGTTGTGGAAGTAGGCGGAGTAGGTGTGCACGTTGATGGTGGCACTCATTAGAATGACCCTCAGGTCCGTGCGCTGCTGCACCACCTGGTGGCCGCCGGCACAGCACAGCACGGAACATGAGACATGTGAAGGCAGCAGAACAGCCGTGCACAAGGAATGCAGGGAGGGAAGGTATAACAAGGCACAGAACACGAGGTACAAGGAGCATGCTCATGAATACAAGCATAGTAACTTGGTTGAGCTTGACGACATGTTGTGATCATCACGAATACAGGAGATTGGGAAGATAAAACGAGTCCTGGTAGACGAGCAATAAGAGAAACGAAAAGGGAGTAGGAGAAGGGGAGGGGGGCGTGGAGAGAGAGAGCGCGGATGAGGCGCGAACGAGGAGGGTACCTACCTGCTTCAAGAGAGCGAGGAGCATGTCAGTGGTGACGTGGCGTTCATGCACCTCGTCCACTCTGCATGGTGGGGGCGATGGGGATGGATGGAGGGGACGATTAGGTTGGATGAGAAACACAAAAACGGGCATCAAGGTTAGGCATGTGGGGAAGGAGGGAGGCATGGGGTACGAGGCATGGGAGAGCAAAGCGTGGCCTAGAACCCTCAGAACGAGTGACTGACATGATGACAGAGTAGGCGGTGAGTAGAGGGTCCGACAGAAGCTCCCTCAGCAGCACTCCCTGCCACCCACCCACCGGCCCCATGCATGCATAAACACACATACACGCATATCATGCGTATCATACGTACACACACATACACGCATATCATGCGTATCATACATACACACACGACAAAAGAGGCGAGGCAGAGACACAAAGTTGAATATGACTGGGAACATGCACAGCACATGGAGAGAGCACAGCAGGTGGCAAGTGCTCTGTCTGACGAGGTAAGTGCACTTGGCATGGTTAGACAGGAACGAAGTCGTTGCAAGGAGACAGGTGGGGGGGATACGGCTGATGCTCGACGGATAAAACAATACCACAACGGCGCATAGAGAAGCGGGGAGAAAGAGGAAGCGACGGGTGGGTAACGGGTGGGAGGGGAAGGGGAAGGGGCGGGCGAGTGGGGAGACAGGTGGGGGAGATAAATACGCCTGATGCTCGACGATTGAAAACCATGACGCAAGCGCGCAAAGAGAAGGAGGGAGGCTGAACGGTAGACGGGAGGCGAAGCGGCAGGTGGGGAATGGGTGGGAGGGTAAAGGGGCGGGCTGGCGGGCGAGTGGGGAGGGGGAGGTGCAGGCGGGCGGCACCTCTGTGAGGAAGAGGATGCGCGAGGCTGCAGTAGCTGTGGACTGGAACCTGATGCGATAAGCCACTCCCGCACCGTACTCGTTTAGAGACTCAAACGCCACCCGCCTGTGAGACAGAGGGCATCGCAGGGAAGGAAGGGAAAGGGCGGAGGGGAAAAAGAAAGGGGCGGAGAGCAAGGGGGGAGATGAGAAGGGAGACGAACGGTAAGAAGTAAGGGAGTATAAGCATGTATGAAGGGAGGGGACGAGCGGAAGAAACTTAGTAAGGGAGATCAAAAGAGGAAAGGTGCAACTGTGGTCGCGCATTGAAGGCGAGCTAATTTGAATTTGGGATTGCTTCTGAGAATACTAAGAAACAGTCTTTTGCACTGATGGAGTAGTGTAGAGCCATTAGTGTGTCGAGGGAAGGCGGAAGGGGGGAAATGGCGGTGGGAGGGGCTGAACACAGGAAGCAGGGGGGAGAGAGGAGGTGGTGGAGGGCAGGAGCGGAGGGAGATGCCTGCAGAGGGAGACGGCGGAGATGCGGCGGGGCTGAGTGCACGCAATTCTTCTGTACCCCGCAGCCAGGAGAATCTGAGGCACCTGCGTGGACTGGTACCACAACGTGGGACCAGATCAGGGGGCGTGCAGAGATGAGAGGGAGGAAGAAACGGGTTGGAAGAGGTAGGCAGGCAGGACAATAGAATGTGCGTTCCACTCCTGCTACTACAACGCTCGGTATGCTGAGACCAGTGCATGTGCGTGCGTGTATGTCTGGCAGGGAGCAGCGAGCAGAGCAAATACCTTGCCGCACCCTGTGTTCCCAGCAATGACAGTGACTTGGGACGAAGACTGCAAGGCACCTCGCAAACCGTGTCATGGAAAACATGGCAGACGCAGACTGGCAGTTAGCAAAGCAAATACCTTGCCGCACCCCGTGTCTCCAGCGATGACAGTGACTTGCGATGCAGCCACAGCAGCCACTATCTCCTCCCTGTGCGCGTTCACCGGAAGCTTCGCCTGGTCCTCCCGCAGCTTCCTCAGCTTCGCTAGGGACCGCTTCTGACGTGGGTGAGTAGGAGTGGATGGATGGGGGAGAGGAAGGACAAGAAGAGGAAAGGAGGGGGGCTGGACTCGCTGACTCGCTTCACGACATTACTCGTTCAACTTTTGACCACTTTCCACTCGTCTCTCCCCCCAGCTGCCCATTCCTCCAACGCACTTCACCTGCCCCTCCCCACAACACCCCCATCCCCCCCCCCCCCTCCTCTTCCCCCTACAAACACACACCTGCAGGAAGTCTTCATACACGCGCAGCATCCGCCTGTACTCCGCCACGTGGCCCTCTGTGAGTGGACTGTCCCTGCCCAGCGCCCGCATCCTCCCCTCATGCTGAGTCAGCACGGCCACGTTCACACGGTACCGCCGGTCGTAGCTGGGAAGAGGAGGGGCAGAGAGGGGTGGAGAGGGATGGAAAGGGGCGAAAATGGGCAGAGGGGGCCGGGTCGGGGAAGATGATTTGGAATTCGACCCAAAAACGCAAACAGCAAGGCGCTGCTGACCGTTCAGCCTGAGAAAGCACGAAGGCCGGCGATGAAAAGGAGAGGCATATTCAGCTACTTGGTCACCCCACAGAATCCGTTCTCCATGCGAGAACGAAAAGCACTTAGCCCTTAGCACGCTACCTGACAGGCAAGCCCAGCGCTTGCGCTGCCTTTTCGCTGAACGTGCTTATTCCGCCACTCGCGCTCCCGCCGCCCGCATCCCCCGCCCCGCCGCTGATCCCCGCGCGCCTGAGCTGGCTGCGCGCATGCGCGTGCGCCTGGTGTTGCAGGAGCTTCGGAATGAACTCTGGCGGAGTGGGCACGGAAGATGCGCGTGCGAAGACAATGAGTCGTGGGGACTAATACAATCTTTATTGCTTCTAAAGTGGTTCAGGTTCCCGTAACAATGAGATCAGGACGCCACGCGAGTCGAATGACAGGAAATATCGGGAGTGAGCGTGCGACGATGCATGCGACGGCGCAGGCAACGATGCGCGCGACGATGCATGCGACGATGCGCGCGACTCTAAGGCTGAAAAAGAGCTTTGTAGAGGAAGGACGACGCGGGAAAACCACGGAGAAGAAGCGAATAAATTCAAGCCGGCGTGTGCGTCCCGGAACCCCTGGAACACGGGCAACTGTCTACAGCTGACGGCTCATCTCATCGCACCTTGCAACTCGTCGTACTCGGGGCTTCCGATCGGAAACGCATCCGACGGCTGGTGGAAGAGCGACGCTAAGACTGCCTTATTCGCCGCCCAGAAACCCACGCTCATGCAGCTATCGCCCATAATCGCTCAGGCAGATGTCGCCGATAATCGCAGCGTCGCCTACAGCGCAACACTGGCTGCGAACCAGCAGTCGGCACGCGATCATGGATAAAGCGGTCCGGAGATGTGCACAATGGAAAGCAAACTAACTATGGCGGCGGCGGGCTTGTCAGTCAGCAAAAAAGGAAGCAGTCTGCAAGACACTGACAAAGTTACATCCCAGCCGAAGCCGTTACGGCGCGACCCGCATTATGCACTCGGCAGCACAAGATACACTTTTCCACATACATATTCGAACTCTTTGATCATGTATTTTATCAACCATAATTACTGATTGTACCAAGCACAACCTAGACACTTTATTTGTTAGTTTCTATAGTTCAGGCCACATGAAGCGTGGAATCGAATGGCATAGTATCACACGCATGTCTTTCACCTCTACACCTAATTTCCTCCTATACCACTATCCTTGCGTTGCCTTGCTCCAATTCCAGCTATTGCCACCTGCACATGAAATAGCACATCACACAGCATTGCGTACCACAGCAAACACACCTCACACGTCATCACATGACAAGCCATGCCATACCATCACATATCATGTCCAGCCACACAACATCACACCGCACCACACCACACCACAACACGCCATAATACACAGCACCAAACCACACCACGACACACCAAATTATACCGCACCACACTACGGAACAGCACAGCATATGCACGTCACCCAACAGCATGTACCACGTCATTGCCCTCCGCTTGCCCATTACCTCCTCATTTGCAATTGCTCGCTCTCACCAAAACTCTCAGCAGCACGCACTAAGCACCCACTCTCATCACTTACATATCATTCCAGCCACTTACTCCACCCGTACCACTAGCTCTCAGCACTCTCCCCACTCATACACACCACTCCTACCACTCACTTTCACCACTCTTCCCACTCCTATCAGTCAGCTAATTCCCTCACCACTCACTCTCACCATTCTAACCACTCACTCTCTACTCTCACCACTCTTAAAACTCATTGTCACCGCTTCAAACACTCACTCTGACCAGTCTTGCCACTGACTAACAGCACCCACACCACTCTTTCTCACCATATCATCACTCACTCTCCACGTTCCCATCGATCTCATCACTCACTCTGATTTCCCCACCGCCCACCCTCACCATTCTCACGAAATACTTAGATACTCCCAGCAGTCAATCTTACCACTCACTCAATATACAGTACCCTCACTAATCCCACCACACAATCTCACCAGTACCACCATACATTCCCACCCCTCCCACCACTCACTGTAGTACCACTCGCCCTTACCACTATCACCACTCTCACCATTGGCTATTACTACTCTCACAACACACATCACATTCTCATCATTCGCTTTCGACCCGCACCCCACTGTTACCACTCTCAACACCCACTCTCACCATTCGCAGCACTCCCACCACCCAGACATACCACACTGTATCACACCACACTGTATCATACCATACCACCCAGTATCATAGCATACCGCATCATACATCACTGCCTCATACCACACTGTATCATACCACACTGTATCATACCATACCGCATCATACCATACTGTAACGTACCGCACTGTATCATACCACATTATATCATACAATACCGTATCATACCACACTTTATCATCCCACACTCTATCATAGCACTCTGTATCATACCCACACTGTATTATACCACACTTTATCATCCCACACTGTATCATACAATACTGTATATACCACACTCTATCATACCACACCGTATCATACAATACTGTATCATACCACACTGTATCATCCCACACTGTATCATACCATACTGTATCATACCACACTGTAACATACCACACTGTATCATACCACACTGTATCATACCACACTGTAACATACCACACACAATCATACCACACTGCAGCATACCAGATTACATCACATCACACCATACCACCCCCCACCACCCACCACCACCCCTTGGCAGCCCACCTTGCCCTTCCCCAACATTACATGGCAGCAGTAGGAGCAGCAGACAGCCCAATTCCTTTCGGAGACAGCACGCCCAAAGGCTGTGCCTTGCAGGGCGAGATGTGGTAGCGAAAAATTGCTTCCAGCCCAAGACTCAAATCCCACCCCTGACGTGGCCAGAGCTGACGCGAACCAGAGCCGCCGGCCGGTCGGCTCTGACGGTGTCCATTAGGCCTTGAACGCCAGATCGGTTACTTGAGCACCGAGTGCCGTGCCGCAGAGATTCCACCTACCTCACCTCGACCCACAAGACACAACCCCAGAGGTGCTGCCCCTAAGGCAGTGAGCTGCCCACTTGCTCCCATGCTCCCCACCCACCCCCATCCCTTCACCCCATGCCTCCTTACCTGTACTTACCGTAGCCGTTCAGAGCACCATGATGCCAAGGCTGCTGGGAAGTGGGAGGAGGAGGGAGAGAAGGGGGGGGGAGTTAAGAGAAGGAATGCCTCTGTTTCGCCATGCTCCAGTGCTCCCTCCCTCCTTCAGGCTGCTAGAAGGGGAGGGGGGTAGAGAAAGAGAGAGGAGGGAATCAGACAACACACCTGATACCATACCTCGCTCATGACTCGACCTAACCTAGTCTGCCCCCTACACCCCACCCCCCACTGCTTCTGCTGCTGCAACTGCTTCTGCCGGTCTGCTACTCAGCTTCGTCTGCTTCAGTCTTCACTCCATGCCAAGTGACCTAGTGGGGGCAGAAGAAAGAGGGGGAGAAAAAGCAAGTGAATTGGCATCACCAGTATAAAAAGAACTGAAATTGACAATAAACAAGAAGCTAGAATTGAAGAGCAGAAAGGTAAATGGGATGAGGGCAAGCCTACCCCAATACTCTCCCTTGTGGCAGCGATTGGCAGTGCTGCCTCCCTTCCATCCCCACGGGTACCTGCACGGCCATAGGGGAGGAGCGTGGGGAAGCGTCGGTGTTGACCCCCGCCCCTCCCCTCCACCTGCAAGGCACACACGCAGAGCTGGTCAGTGGGCAGTCCTGACATGATGCCTCAGGCTGCTGGAAATTGGGAGGAGGGAGAGAGGAGGGGAGGAGATTAGAGAAGGAATGCCTCTGTTTCGCCCTTGTTCCAGTGCTCCCTCCCTCCTTCAGGCTGCTAGAAGGGGAGGGGGGGGAGAAAGAGAGAGGAGGGAATCAGACAACACACCTGTTACCATACCTCACCTGAGACCATACCTCACTCACGACTCGACCTAACCTAGTCTGCCCCCTAGCCCCCCACCCCCCACTGCTTCTGCTGCTCCAACTGCTGCTGCCGGTCTGCTTCTCAGCTTCCTCTGCTACAGTCTTCACTCCATGCCAAGTGACCTGGTGGGGGGGAAAGAAAGGGGGAAGTGAAAGTAATTGAGTTGGCATGACCAGGACAAAAAAAAACTGAAATTGACAAAAACAAGAAGGCAGCATTGAAGAGCAGAAAGGTAATGGGATGAGGGAAAGAGGGGAGGTGACGTACCTTGAGAGGCCAAGCCCACCCCGATACTCTCCCTTGTGGCAGCGATTGGCAGCGCTGCCTTTCTCCCATCCCCACGGGTACCTGCACGGCCACAGGGGAGGGGCGTGGGAAGTGCCGGTGTTGACCCCTGCCCCTCCCCTCCACCTGCAAGGCACACACCCAGAGCATGTTAGTATACAGTCTTGGCAGCAGCAGGGTTGACAAGTGCGAGTCACACAGGCAGTGCTAGAGAGGGGAGGGGCCACTGGGGAGACACAGCCACAAGCCACAGACCTGAAGGGGAACCTGCACCTGAGGGGAACCTGCACCTGAGGGGAACCTGCACCTGAAGGGAACCTGCACCTGAGGGGGCATCTATACCTGTGGCATGTGAGTGGACCCAGGCAGTGAATCTCTCTTTAAGAGGAAGGGCATGAATGCACGTGCAACCATGGAAACACACAAGCGATGTTGTGGCAGGCAAGGGTGAGGGCAGGAGGAAGGAACACTTAGCTTGTGGCGTGAGAGGTGAAGGCGTGAGAGCGGATGGTGTGAGGGCGAGCACAAGGCAGCTGAAGCACCACTGGGTGACTACCCTCCACGGCAGCCCTCATCCCAGCCTTCCCACTCTGCTGCTCGGCTGTCGTTGTGCTGCTGTCTTGCCTTGCCTGGTAGAGGGCAGAGAAGGGGGGGAGGGACAGGAGAAGAGCAGCAGGAGGAACTGGTGAGCTGGCGTAAAGAGAAGCGGGCTTGTAAACAGCAAGACACTCAAGCAGACAGAAATGGGAATGAGAGAACGGAGGGGAGCTGCAGAGCGAATGAAGTGGAGGGAGAGAGAGGCGGGAGGCCAAGGAGGGAGGTGACGTACCTTGAGAGGCCAGCCCACCCCATACTCTCCCTGGTCGCGCCAATTCCAGTGTGCTGCTGCGCTGCCTCCTGCTCGCATCCCCACAGGCACCTGCACGGCCACAAGGGGAGGGGAGCGGGGGAGTGACGGTGTAGACCCGCATGCCCCTCCCCTCCACCAGCAAGGAGAGACACAAAGAGAAGTGAGTCAAATGCTCGGGGTAGAAATGTAGAGGAGTGCATGGGTGGGGTGGGATGGCAGATGAGAGCAGCAGAGGAACCATTGGAGCAGCGCTAGGCACATGGTGCAGACCCAAGGTAGAGTGTCTAGGAACTTAAGCTTAGAAGCGATGCATTAGTAATGAGCTTGAAGCTCTTTAAGTACATCCAAGATGGGTAGGGAATGGATGGGGAAGGGAATCGGGGGCAATCTCTAGGGATTGGGGGTAATCCCAAGGCAATCTCCAATTGGTGGGTTGGAGATTGCTTGGAGATTACATTTGGGTTTGGTTGGGATGTAGGTGTACACCCAACCAAACACAATGTGCAAACTACACTACTCTAGGATATAGAAAATACAAAGTACAAAGTGTGAGATTGAAGGCTAACACTAACACCCCCCCATAGGCGTCAATCGAACTCAGGGCAGAGAGGGTGGAGCACAGAGCCCCATGGCGCCAAGGAGACGGT